AACTGGAGGTGTCGATTGACATTACATTTGAATAGTTGGAGATTATAGCTATCAGCGAAAAAGGAAGAGGGAATGGAGTCCCACAGGCGGGAAGTGCGAGACATGAAGCTATTGGAGTACAGGAGACGGCTACATTTAACAGTTTCGACAGTGAAAGGGTGTGAGCGAGATGCCAACCTAGTTGAACGCTTAAATTCATGAAGTCTAGGAACCAGCGGAAGCAGCGCATCGGAGGAGTTACCATGAAAGTATTTGTAAAAAAGACAGAGGGAGGCAACTTTGACCATCGAGTGGAGGTGTGCCACAGAAGCCTTGGCGGACATTTGGGCGATATTATTTTTCGCACATAATTGCCATGACTTAAATAACATGATCCAAAAGAAAAATAAATATATTTTTACTAATAAAACTGATTCATTTACTGCTGACTTTGATCTGTCTTATTGAAACACTTATATATAATCCGTTTTAATGAAACACCCTTTATTATTTTCTTTCTTCTAGACAATTACCCAGGACTACTTATCATGAATTATTTACTGCTGACTTTGATCCGTTTTAATGAAACACCCTTTATTATATTCTTTTTTCTAGACAATCCCCATGTGTCGAATATGAATTTGACTGTAAAGACCAGCGTGGAGATAGTTGATGAATATCTGGGTTGCAAAAGAAAACGTCCTTCATTCGTGACCCTCACACCTAGGATCAGGTAACCACGGTAATAACAGACTGGAACAATAATAACAACTTCTTTCGCTATCGGCCAGAAAGCCGGTGAGTATGAGGGGAAGGGATTTTTATAACATACCTCTGCCCCCACCCCTTCCACCAATCCAAATGGGAGTCTACTAAAGCGGTGAACAATGAGTCGTTCGCCGCCTTACTCAAGTCTATTCTTCATTATTTCCGACACATGAAAGCATTTAAAGAAAAGGTCTAGCGAAGCTACATTAGGGCGGAGGGAGAGTGGCTGAAGCCGAGATACCAGGTCAGGACTAATAACATTGCAGATTCTTCTTTGAATTTTATCAAGACTCTCTAAAGATGTATCAGGAGCACTAGAGAAGATGTGGCAGCAATGTTCAAAGCCTGGACGAATGGTAGAGTTATAAATGTGTAAAATAGATTCTGGCAAGAAAAATTGTCGAGAGCTGTTTTTAGTTTGAAAACGAATGTTTTGCTGCTCGATTCATCGATGGATACGTTAATTAGTTAGTTAGTTGATTTGTCTAATGGCACATCAACTCCTTTATGAGTTATTTAATGCCGAAATGTAATGTCATTGGAGCTTTGAATTAACAAAAATATGATGTTATTCTGCTTTCACAACTGAATACATGGTAGATGATACTCCGCTTTTGTGCATATACAAGTTTGTACGGAATTACTAGAGGAGGTGATATGTATGTTTCATCTTGTAGTTTTTTTAAGTTATATTTTGAAATACAGTTTCATACAAAACAATTGTATAATATTACATAGATTAATATGAAAACGTTGATGTTGGCTGTTTAATTGGTTAGTTAATTTTGTTTAGCGACATATCAACCACTATGGGTATATTTTGGACACAATTTTATGGCTTCAACTTGATGTAATGGAATAACCTGCCACCCCTATGAGTACCAGCACTATAGGTAGTAACCACCTATAAGTATCCGTTAGGACAGCAGACAGGAGAGTCGAGCTGGGATCTGTTATTCAAATTTTGGCTGTTCTCAAACTCTCTGTCTTCGATCCAAAACGAACCCGGACGAAGATATGCCGAAGGGCAGAGTCTCGTCCAGGGAGGTAGACAGACCAGAACCCGTTTATACAGGGTTACTGGGAATTTTTGGCCGAGCCTACGAGCTCGGATTGTCCCACATTAAACTCAGTCTTGTGCCACATCCTTCTTTATGGGGAGGCAGGTAAATACCGGTATCTGTTATTCAGATCTTGACTGCTGCCTTTGGACAGATAGGAAACCGGACGAGACTATGCCGAAGGGCAGAGTCTCGTACGGGGAGGTAGACGGACCAGAAACCGTTTATGCGGGGTTACGGAGAATTTTTGGCCGAGCCAGGTAACTATCGTCGAGCTGGGATCTGCGAGACTAACAGCCTTCCGATCGCAGCGCGCACACAACTGTACTGACTTGCGACGACCGTGCTCATAACTACTCCTTCCTTGCTTGTTGTACTGGTTTCTACAATAAACCTCTTACTATTTATCCAACGTATTTTTCCATTCCATATTCCGATTAGCACGGAATATAACAACTAAATATATTTTGAATACAATTCTATTTCTTCAACTACAGATACAATATATTGCTGGTTATGTATTGGTCTCTTTTTATATAAAAATTTATTGCAAATATTTTTATTATTAGATATCAGGTCATCCCATAAGTTCTGTCCGAATTTTAACTTTTTGTTAAAATGAACGAAATTTAAAGAGTATTTTATAATGTCTAATAGAGCTGAACATTATTTTTATGTTTAAATGAATTTAAACTGATCAAATTTTATTTCAGAGAACAATAAAATTAAATTTTGTTTGATTAAAACCTTGCTAACCCAAGAATCATTTGAGGCACATAATGCTTTATGAGTTCAAGAAAGGAAACTCAGCAGCCGAAGCGGCTAGAAACATTCACTCAGTTTATGGAGAGGAATGTGTGAATGAAAGAACTTGCAGAAGATGGTTTGCAAAATTCAGAGGTGGAGATTTCACCCTTGAAGATGAATACTGAACCGGACGTCCTGTTGGGTGTGATGAAAAGCTTCTTGAAGCAGCCCTTGAAGAAAATCCTGCTTTATCAGTTGAGGAATTGGCAGTGGTTCTCAGTTCAAACCATATAACTGTTCATCGTCATCTTCAACAACTTGGAAAAGTTCCTAAACTTGGAAAATGGATGCCTCATGAATTGCCTGAAAACAACCTCAAATCCCGAGTTGACATCTACTCTTCTCTCCAAATTGTTTCACCTTTTTTGGATAGACTTGTGACTGGCGACGAAAAATGGATCTTTTATCGAAATGTTAAGCGTCGCAGACAGTGGCTTGGTAAAGAGAAAGGACCCCAGCCACAGCCGAGAAGGGAACTTCATGGGCAAAAGGGTCTTCTTTCAATCTGGTGGGATCGCCAAGGAATAATCCACTTTGAATTCTTACCACCTAATGCAACAATTAATGCTCAAATATACTGTCAGTAATTAGAACGTTTGTACCAAGCTTTGAGGAAAGAAAGACCTGCTCTAGTGAATCGAAAAGGGGTGATGTTTCATCAGGACAATGCGCGACCGCACACAGCAAGAATCACGTCACAAAAGATCGAAGCACTTGGTTGGGAGAAAATTCCTCATCCACCTTATTCTCCTGATCTTGCTCCTTCAGACTACCATTTGTTTCGTAGCTTACAGAATCATTTGGAAGAAACAGCTTTTGTAATACAGGAAGAGGTTAAAACTGACATTTGTGAGTTCTTCGAATAAAAGCCAAAATAATTTTACAGTAATGGAATTAGTAAGCTTGTTAACAGATAGAAGGAAGTCTATAATTAGGGAAAATACATTGTTGATTGAATCTGTAATTAAATGTAACATTTGGTCACTTGTTTTTGTTTATTCAAAATTCGGACAGAACTTATGCGATGACCTGATAGTAAGCTTGTTAATAGATGGAATGAAGTCTTAGATAATCAGGGAAAATACATTGTTGATTGAATCTGTAATTAAATGTAACATTTGATCTTGTTTTCTTTATTCAAAATTTGTTTTCTTTATTCAAAATTCGGACAGAACTTATGGGATGACCTGATATATTTGCATGCTTTCAAGGTCTTTTTGTTTTTTTTGTCTGGGAGGTTCATTATTTGCTCATAGCTGGAACCCTGTCAGGTGCTACAACCCCAGATAAGTGTAGATCTGGAGACAACACCAATTGAGAGGTGGTTCCAGGCTCTTAAAGGCCCTCAATCTTATGATTAGTGACCTTGCTGCTGGATGTAGTTCATCGTCATACCCAGGACTACGGATAAATGAAATAGCGGTTGGCAATTAGTTGGATTTTGAAGTCCTCAAGGTCGACGATCTCGTGGATTCTATTCTGAAGTTCTCAAAGTCGACGATTCCAAGGATGATTAAATTCTTCTGTATAATTCAAACTATTTTCGAAATCGTAGAATTTGCAAGTTTGCCCAAATCTCAAATTCTTCTCATTAAATACAACCTGCATGTCCCAAAATACAAGAATGAATCAGGCATCGATTCAACTTATAGCAAATAACACAAGAGATGGTTTTAATTTCTGCCATCTATTTTTATTGACGTATTTTTTGCTATCAAAACTGTTTTACGCTTATTTATATTCTAATTTTAATTCAGTCTTCTTCTGTTCGTTTCGTTTCACCAAATTTCTTATTTTGTCTGCTTCCTCTATTTCAGCAACGTTCGCTTTTCGTAATATCGCTATTTTTGTACGTTGTTTTTCGTTTCGTTTCTGTTCGTTTCGCGTTTTGCTTGTTGGTTTGTTTCGTTGTTCGCTTACGTTGCTAGTTTTCTGTTCTTTCGTCCGAGCTTTAAGCCGAGCATGTAGATATGTCTATATCGACGTCTCCTATGTTTGCGTATTTAAGATTTAAAATTTCGCTAATACAATTTTTAAAAACAGAAATAAAGAGCTTTCAATATTTGAATTATGAATTTAAAACCTTAATGCAATTCTGAATCGGTTTACAATTTTTAACCATTCATCCGGGCTTTTTGATTCCCGTTCACTTTGCTTTTAAAATCAACTCCATCGTACCCAGCGTCTCCTCGCCGCCATTTTTATCTGTTTTTTTTTTTTTTTTGTTGTTTTTATTTTTTAATCATTCAACATCGTTCCAAGTTTTCTTCTCTTCTATTTCATTCGTTCTTACTTATTTATTGTTATGTTCGTTTATTCGTTCAGGTCTATTTTTTTTCTATTCTCCCGTTTTGTACATATAGCGGCCATTTTATTTTCATTTCAATGTCAACATCTCCTTTTACTCTTTCCTTTCTTTTTCTTCTTTTTTCTTTTTCTTCTTTTTTCTTTTCCTTCTTTTTCTCCTCCTTTTCTTTTCTTCTTCCCTTACGTTTCTCCTTCCCTTCTTTTTCTTTGTCTTTTTATCCTACTTACCTTTCTTTTTTACTACTTTTTCTCCTTCCTTTTTTCTCCTTCATTTCTTTTTCTTCTTCTTTTTCTCCTTCCCTACGTTTCCACTTTTCTTTCTTCTTTCTTCTTTCTTACCTTTTTCCCTTCTTTTTCTCCTTCACTTCTTTTTCTTTTATTTTTCTTCTTTTTCTCCTTCCCTTCTTTTTCTTCTTTTTCTCCTTTCTTTCTTTATTCTTCTTCTTTTTCTCCTTGCCTTCTTTTTCTCTTTCCCTCCTTTTTTCCTTTTCTTCTTTTTCTTCTTCATGTTCTCCTTCCCTTCTTTTTCTTCTTTTTCTCCTTTCTTTCTTTTTCTTCTTCTTTTTCTCCTTACCTTCTTTTTCTCTTCCCCTCCTTTTTCCTTTTCTTCTTTTCTTCTTTTTCTTCTTTTCTTCTTTTTCTCCTTTCTTTCTTTTTTCTTCTTTTTCTCCTTACCTTCTTTCTCTTCCCCTCCTTTTTCCTTTTCTTCTTTTTCTTCTCCATTTTCTCCTTGCCTTCTTTTTCTCTTTCCCTCCTTTTTTTCCTTTCCTTCTTTTTTTCTTCTTTTTCTCCTTCCTTCTTTTTTTCTTTTCTTTTTTCTTCTTCTTTCCCTTCTTTTTCTTTTTTCTTTTTCTTCTTTTCTTCTTTTTTCCTTTTTCTTCTTTTCCTACTTTCCTATTTTTTATTATTTTTTCTCCTTCCTTTTTTCAACTTCCCTTCTTTTTCCCTTTTTTCTTTTTCATTTCTTTTTCTCCTTTTTCTACTTCCATTCTTTTTCTCCTTCATTTCTTCTTCTCCTTCATTTCTTCTTCTCCTTCACTTCTTTTTCTCCTTTCTTTTTCTTCTTTTTACCTCTTTCCCCTCTTTTTCTCCTTTCCTTCTTTTTTTTCTTCTTCTTTTCCTTCATTTCTTTTTCTCCTTACCTTCTTTTTCTCCTTCCCTTCATTTTCAACTCCCCTTCTTTTTTTTCCTGTTTTTCTTCTTCCTTTCTTTCAACTTTCAAATTGAGTGCAACACCACGGTTCAAAATCGTCCTGTCCTAAAGAACAACCACAAGATTTATTGAGTTAAACCATAGTCACCGTCTGTTAGAATCGTAAGTGTAGAAGAGTTACAATGAAGAGGGGAGATAACTCGAACATATTTTATCATCACGGGTATCCTCATCATTCTTCTGTGTAATAACATTTCTACTGCCTCAAGTATCTTTTTCAGCACTCATTCTTATATAGAAGGATTGATATTATGTAAGAGTTCAGTAGTATTTAATCAAGATGTTGAGTAGTGTTTTAATCAAGATATTGTCGCTTAGCAATACTTCAACAAAAGATTAGAAAGAAAGACCCATCTGTAATGGAAAGAGCTATAACAGTTATTGGACTTGAAAGATAAAACAATTACAAAGGTTTGTTTTTGATGGTTTGCTTTGGTTTATTTTGTTTAACGGAATATCAACCTCAATGGGTTATTAAATGCAAACAACATTTTTAGGATAGATTCGTATGAATAGAATATGTATTCTTTCATTTAGATTGGTTTGGTTTATTTTGTTTTACGGCATATCAACCTCAATGGGTTATTTAATGCCGACAACATTTTTAGGATAGATTCATTTGAATAGAGTAGGTATTCTTTGGTTTAGATTGGTTTGGTTTATTTTGTTTTACGGCATATCAACCTCAATAGGTTATTTAATGCTGACAAAAAATCTTATTGCTGGTAATATTTTGTTTTGTCAAAAATCTGTTTCTGGTAATATATTTTCTTCCAAATTGTATTGCTGATAATAATTTCTTTTCAAAAAAGTGTTGCTGGTAATAGTTAACTATTTGTCCATAGCTGGAACCCTAACAGGTGCTACCATCCCGGGTCAGGGTAGACCTGGGAACACCAGCAAGAGGTGGTTCCACGCTCCTCAAAACCTCCTGATCAGAGGCCATGCTGCTGGACGTAGTTTAACGTCTTACCCAGGACGCGGATGTAGTTTAAGGTCTTACCCAGGACGCGGATGTAGTTTATCGTCTTACCCAGGACGATTGTTTTTAATGGAGTATATTTCGAATTATCTAGATGTAACACAATTTGTTGGTTTCCTCATTTTTCAAACTTAACCCTAGAACACTAACCATCAATTAAAGTTACACCATTAGTAACCATGGCTATATCATACCCGATTTTGAAAATACCCCAAAAAAATTAAATATAAATCTTTTTTTGAAATATTTTACATGCAGGCACTTCAAAATTTGTACTTTGAGTTAACATTAATAGGAACTGGAAAATATATTATTTATTTAAGAAAAATAGCTACTGAAAATTGTAATTAAAAACAGGAAAATTTGCGCTGGGTACTATATACCCATGGTTAGTTTTCTAGGGTTAAAAAAAGAATTCCAGTGATTACTGCTACCCAGATTGACAGAAATTCGTTGTGTGCCATCCCCTGGAGGACAAGCCCAACTGTATATTTATTGTATGAAAATACAATTGTGGCACAAGGTCGGAGAAATGCTATGAGGTTTTCTTCACTGTCTATCCTAAACCTAGATTATCTGATTGGCGTCACATTCATGACAATTGACTGAATGATCACAAGAATCCATTCATTTCCATTCATCTGACATACGCTTTTGTGCAAATTAATTGAAACAGAACGAATAATTCCGTTTTTATTTACTTTTTTGATGTATTTTTCCAATGAAACATGACCCAGTGCACATGTTAGTACTTCGTATGTCCATTCCACAAAGTCGTTCCTTGCAGACTGGCCACAGATTCTCGATTTTATTTAAATCAAGAGAGTTTTCGAGCCAGTCGATAGTACTTTGATTTGCTCACTGGTAAGGTTTGCCATTGTGTCTGTGCAGCGTTACAATTTTCGTACACTTCCTTGGAGTAGTGTCCACCGTAGACAATCGCCATAGGACAACTAATCGACAGCAATCTAGCTTAACCAAGTGAGGGGTCCAACAAGAAAATAACCCCGTTTTGTCAAAAAGGTACAAAAAAAATGAAGATCAAGGCTGGACCCGTTCACGCGAACCAGGCTCACCGCTTTTACCCATCTTCGGTTGAAATCAGTTCTAATCTTCATCTTGATCTGATGTTCAAAGAATCCAATCAGATTCCAATAAGAATAACATTCGTATCGTAAGATTCGCTCCATTCGCGTTGTCCACACCATCATCATTTCCACGGCCATCAGCGTTAGAATCACCATCCGTTTCACCCTAAAACACTGTGGTGGCACATTATCTCACGCTTATGAGAGATCAATGGACACGAAGGACACGCCCAACTGATGAAGATCAAACACCTAGCAATGGAATCTCTGATCCGGATCGAGATATTTATTGTAGCCGATCTGAATTCACCAAAACTTGGTAGATACAGTTTCTTACTTCCAATGAATTAAGATCAGAATCAATGAAGTCATCTCTAGATTATTTCTTTTGATCTTTGTTGTGTACACATTTCCTACTGAATTCCAACCAGTGACATGAAGTCAAAAGTGGCATCACGACATTTTTCACTACACATTTGTGTAAAAAAAAAAATATTAAAAAAAAAATAATTAAAATTAAACAACCTAAAAACAAACACATTTTACAGAGATAAATCCCTTTCCCGGGCATTATTCTGTCCTTATGAGAACATTTTTTTTTTTTTTTGTGTTGCTTGTACTACCAGGAATCCCTTCAAAGAATCGATCAGAACCTTTTCCAATCAAACCCAGGGCCTCAATCACAACAGGAATTATCGATGTTTCATGGGCCACATTTCTTTTTGAATTCTCTTTCAAGAGCTAATGGTTTTTGAAGAGCTTCGAAGCTATAGTACATAATTATTATTATTATTATTATTATTATTATTATTTTAAATTCCTTTGATTTCCGGTGTGTACTCATTTCTTTCCGGGTCCCGCCCAGGGACCTAAGGTTAGAAATGGCATCATGAAACTTTCCACTGAAAAAAAACAAGTTTACATAGATAAAGCCCTTCGTAAGGTGTGGGCTGTATGCGTGAGAACAATTTTTTGTATCTCTTTAAAGCATGGGCTTCCAGGAATCCCTTAAATTAGTCTACTGGAATCTTTTCCAATCAATCCAAGGGCTCCAACTACAACAGGGATTGTTGATGCTCTCATATGCCACATTTTTTAGATTTCTATTTCAAGGTCCTTGTATTTTGATAGCTTTTTGAAGATCTCCAAGATACTTTGCAGTCTAAGGGGACTGCCATATCAATAAGGAGGCAATTTTTTGTTGTTTGCGGTCTTTAATAACAATATCTAGGCGGTTGGCTTTGATTGTTCTGTCAGTGTGTATTGTGTAGTCCCATAAAAATTGTAAAAGGTCCTATCTCCGTAACCGGATCTGGGTGGTGTTCATACCACTTTCTTTCAGTTTCCTTCCCGTAGAAATTATTATTATTATTATTATTATTATTATTATTATTTTCTATGATTTCTGATGTGTACTCATTTCTTTCCGGGCCTCGCCCAGGGACCTAAGGTTAAAAGGGCATCATGACATTTTCCACTGGAAAAAAAAAGTTTACATAGATAAAGCCCTTCGTAAGGAGTGGTCTGTACTCGGGAGAACAATTTTTTGTATTTCTTTAAGGCATGGGCTTCCAGGAATCCCATCAATTAGTCTACTGGAATCTTTTCCAACCAGTCCTAGGGCTCCAACTACAACAGGGATTGTTGATGTTCCCCATATGCCACATTTTGAGATTTTTTATTTCAAGTTCCTTGTATTTTGACAGCTTTTTGAATATCTTCAAAGATACATTGCAGTCAGCAGGGACTGCCATATCAATAAGGAGACACCGTTTTTGTTTGTGGTCTTTAATAGCAATGTCTGGGCGGTTGGCTTTGATTGTTCTGTCAGTGTGTGTTGTGCAGTCCCATAGAATTATTATTATTATTATTATTATTATTATTATTATTATTATTTTCTTTGATTTCTGGTGTATACTCATTTCTTTCCGGGTCTCGACCAGAGACCTAAGGTCAGAAATGGTATCATGACATTTTCAAATGAGCAGTTTTCAAAAAAAAATTACACATATTTTACATTGCTAAAGCTCTTCGTAAAATGTGCACTTCACTTGTGAGTAGATTTATTTGCATTTCTCTAAGAGAAGGGCTAGCAGGAATCCCTTCAATGGGCCTATCGGGCCCTTTTCCAATCAATCCGAAGGCTCTAACTACAATTGAATTTGTTGGTGTCCTCATGTGCCACATTTCTGAGAGTTCAATTTCAAGGTCCTTGTATTTTGATATTATTATTATTATTATTATTATTATTATTATTTCCTTTGATTTCTGTTCTATACACATTTCCTTCCGGGTCCTAACTAAAGACCTAAGGTCAGAAATGGCATCATGACATTTTCCACGGATCATTTTTATTAAAGACTAGCAGTAGAGCCCGGCATTGCCCGGGGATGTAACAGTAAGAGATAGATCAAGTATCGACCATCATAAAGACTGAAAAATAAAATTGACAAAGATTATTGTTTAAGGTTGACTGACACGCATGTCTTAATTAGTTTTTTTTTGTTGTTTTTTAGGTTTTTTTATGAATTGGTCAAACCCAAACTCAAACAAAAACATCGTTTTCAATCGTTATGAGTCTATCGATTGAATAGAATTTTATTATAAACAATTGTCTTGTAAATGGAATTTTTAAAGCATTCTGAATGTAAAAATAAGGAAAAAAGTGTGCAAGACAATAAGAAACACTACCTGCCAAAAAAAAAAGTGAAGTTTTGTTGAAATTGGTTGAAAAATGTAGGAAATCCGATCCCATATATAAACGAACACACACACACACAAATAACCTGGGTTTTATAATAAGTATAACTCGATATGAGTTGTCCCCCTTTCATTCTCGAAACAGCGATGCCTCTTAATCGTGTTTTCAAATTGATTTCGTACAAAAACAATTGTGTTTTTCCAATTTTTGGCGCTGTCAGAACCACCGCAAGGTAATTTTACGTAGTCCTGTGAAGTTTTGCTAAAATCGGTTGAAAAATGTAGGAAATCCGATCCAATATATAAACGTACAGACACACACACACAATCTGCGTTTTATAATAAGTAAGATCTCACACATTTTACATATATAAAGCTATTTGTAATGCGTGAGCTGTACTTTTGATTACATTTTTTTGTATTTCTCTAAGAGAGGGGCTACCAGGAACCCCTTCAATGAGTCGATCTGACCCTTTTCCAAACAATCCGAAGGTTCTAACTCCAACTGGAATAGATGATGTCCTCATATGCCACATTTTTGGGAATTCAATTACAAGGTCCTTGTATTATTATTATTATTATTATTATTATTATTATTATTATTATTAAATTACGCTTTCATTTTCTGTCTTTTCTATCTTCTTTCTTCCAACACCTCGTCACATCATTTGCCTTCTTCCGGCGCCATCACAACGATGACAGTTTCTTTTCTTCCCGCTCGGCTGCATAGCCTCGTTTTCGTTTGTACTCTCTCTATGACTTGACCCAGTGAATCCTCGAAGAACTCTTAACATATTTCCCGCCTTTCTTCGTGCGGCTGAAGTAAACGGGGCGCCGGATGGTCGAGCCGATATCAAAAGCCGATAATTGGATATTCCCAAAACGGTTTAGACAATTAACAGAAAAAAATGTCCGAGAGATGTCAACAGTACTGAGAAAAAAATATCTTATATCACACCTCTGTTTTATTCAATATAGAATTTCGCCAAAATAACTGAAAATGAGAATTCAATTGATAAAGAGAAATGAAAAGTTGAAATATCTTAATTTTCAACTCATTAAATTCTTCATAGGACGGACGCTCCGAAAGTAATACATTTTAATAATTTTTATTACTGACTAGCAGTAGAGCCCGGGGATGTAACAGTAAGAGATAGATCAAGTATCGACCATAATAAAGACTGAAAAATAAAATTGACAAAGATTATTGTTTAAGGTTGACGGACATGCATGTCTTAATTATTTTTTTTTTGTTTTTTTTTTTTTTACGAATTGGTCAAACCCAAACTCAAACAAAAACATTGTTTTCAATCGTTATGAGTCTACCGATTGAATAGAATTTTATTATAAACAATTGTCTTGTAAATGGAATTTTTAAAGAATTCTGAATGTAAAAATAAAGAAAAAAGTGTGCAAGACAATAAGAAACACTACCTGCCAAAAACAAGTGAAGTTTTGTTGAAATCAGTTGAAAAATGTAAGAAATCCGATCCCATATATAAACGAACACACACACACAAACAACCTGGGTTTTATAATAAGTATAACTCGATATGAGTTGTCCCCTTTTCATTCTCGCGATGCTTCTTAATCGTGTTTTCAAATTGATTTCGTGCAAAAACAATTGTGTTATTCCAATTTTTGCTGCTGTCAGAACCACCGCAAGGTAATTTTACGTAGTCCTGTGAAGTTATGTTGAAATCGGTTGAAAAATGTAGGAAATCCGATCTAATATATAAACGTACAAACACACACACACAAACACCACCTGCGTTTTATAATAAGTATGATACACAAAGTACAATGACACCGTTTGCTAGAACGGGTTTTCAGCAACAGATGACTATTTCTTCAACATAAAAACCCCGCCCTTTAGCTATGAAATTTTGGAAGCGATATTCATTTGCGGATTGACACAGGCCCGCCACCATTGTGTTTTGAAAGGGAGCTTGGCTTACAACACAGGTGGACTGTGAGAACGAATTTGCATACTATAATTATCACTTTAAACGTTATTTTTAGTGGATAACCAAATTTGAATAGACGTTCTGTTGATTTTTAAACAGTGTTTAATTTCGTCTACTGGCCAGAAATTGGAGATATCTTAAAGGAAAAAAACGCATATATATATATATATATATATATATATATATATATATATATATATATATATATATATATATATATATATATATATATATATATACAAATATTTTGTATATTTAGGCAGCAATTTTTCATTGATGCATGTTTCATTAAATGATATAAACAAGTTTTGTCTATTTCTTTTAAGTTCCATTCATATTGTCTGATAAGCTTAATAACATTGTCATTAAAAGACGAAAGGAAATCAACATACTGATACATTTCACGAGTTGCGACGCGATTTTGGCTTCCGCGTCTCGTATACACGAGTTATTCGCTGCGTTGAAATTTTTCATCCAACAAAAACAGACTAGCATAATTGTTTTGTCCGTGTATTGGTTGATATATTGAAAAGTAATTGCCATCTTTGATAATGGCTCATATAAGCCGAAAGCTTAGATTGTTTTTAAACATGTACCAATATGGTGATTTCCTTTCCTCTTTCAATGATAATGTTAAGCTTGTCAGATAATATGAAAGGAACTTACTTAAAATAAATAGACAAAACTTGTCTATATCATTTAAGGAAACATGCATCAATGAATATATATTATATATATATATATATATATATATATATATATATATATATATATATATTCATTCATACACGTTTGATTAAATAATATAGACAAGTGAATATTGTGAATTTCTTTCTTCGTTCAACGATAATGTTATTAACCTTATCAGATGTTACGAAAAAAATTTACATAAAAAAAGTAAACAATACTTGTCTATATTATTTAATGAAACGTGTATGAATGAAAAGATACTGCCTAAATACACACACAATATATATATATATATAAATATATATATATATATATGTATATATATATCGAGAGTAAAAGCAAAATTGTCCAATTGTTAGGTTAATCTTTGAATCCTATCTTAGAAATGATTAAATATATCTTACTGGAATTCTCCAAGGTTTTTATAACACTATTGAACTCTACTTTAAACAATAAGAATGTATTTAGCTCTAAGTTGAAATGATAATCCCTCTTCCTGTTGTGACATCCTGATCCAGTTTTCCTCTCTATTGGTCCCTTTTTTTTTAAACTTATTCACTGTTCTCTTAATGGTTCTTGAATGGACGAAGATGGAAGCCAGAGTATGAATGTTCATACGATTACTGCCCAGTTGGGAAGATATAGTGGGACTGAAACAAAATGATTTTGACCTATTCTCTTACTAGATGAATAACTAGAATGGTTTTTCAATGATTCTTACAACAAATAGATAGAAAGAAAAGACATAGATAGATAGATAGATAGATAGATAGATAGATAGATAGATAGATAGATAGATAATGAACAGACTGACATAGATAGATAGATAGATAGATAGATAGATAGATAATAGAAATGAACGGACTGACATAGATAGATAGATAGATAGATAGATGATAGATAGATGATAGATAGATAGATAGATAGATGATAGATAGATGACAGATAGATACCAACAGATAAAACAAAGAATAAATGGATAAATAGATGAAGATAGATATGGTAATCTTAACAGATAATAGAAATAATGAAAAGAATGATAAGGCATAGATAGAAGGGTTTCCCAATCCGGACGATAGTCACCTACCTCCACATGCGGTCGGATGCGGCACAAGGCCAAGTTTAATGTGGGAGGATAGATAGATAGATAGATAGATAGATAGATAGATAGATAGATAGATAGATAGAACAGACTGATAGATAGATAGATAGATAGATAGATAGATAGATAGATAGATAGACAGACGGTCCGTTACCTATCAAGTGCTCATTCTTTTTTGATCGTTCGTTTCTGGGGGGTTTTTTTGTCGTCTGAATTATGTTATGAAATATCCTCCATAGTTGGATAGATGATAATTGACATAGATCCCAAGAAATTCAATAGAAGATAACATTCTTTAAAAGTAAAATATTAATGAACAGATGGACATATATATATATATATATAGATAGATATATAGATATGTGTGTGTGTGTGTGTGTGTGTGTGTGTGTGATGTGATGTGTTTGATGATGTTCAAACCCAGACAAAAATGGATGGATAGATGGATATGAAAAGATAACGGATACTTGTCTGTCTGTCTGTCTGTCTATCTGATAGATATATAGATATATATATATATATATATATGATATATAGACCACATAGACTTTACATAGAATCAAATTCCACGGTCTATCTTTAAAGATGTTTGATAGATTCAGATACATGTATAGATATATGACACATGACTCTAATAGATCACCACACACACACACACATATATATATATCTGTGTGATAGATAGATATGATATGTGCATATATATATAGAAAGAAAAACAGAGCACAGCTACAGATAATAATTTATTTCCAACAGTTTTTTGTTGTTGTTGAAAAAATATTAGTTTTATATTGAGCCTCAAACTTGGAATTAGATATGAATTACCAAAATATATATTATATATATATATATATATATATATATATATATATTATATATATAATATATTGAATTTTAAAAATATGACTATTGACATAAGAACTCTCATGTTTCCAAAACAAGAGCCGAAAACATATATAATTATTTGAATTAAATTGAGTTAAAATAATACCTCCCGAAATAATGGAATAACGGAAATTTACGTGCTAGATCAGGGTTTTCCAATCCGAATTGTTTAAGTCACCTACCTCCACATGTTGGGTCGGATGTATCACAAGAGTTACTTTCATAGATTTAATCAGAGAAAAGTGGGAGGATAGAATGATAGATAGATAGATAGATATAGATAGATAGAATAGATAGATAGATAACAGACTTCATAGATAGATAGATAGATAGACTTTTTTTAAAACAGACAGGGACAGACAGACAGACGGTCCTATATATTTACCTATCAAGTGCTCATTATTTTATATCGTCGTTCGTTTCGAATAGGTAATTGGGGGATGAAATTTTTGTCAATCTGAATTACAATAGTTATATGTATTTTCAATAATTTTTTTATATGAAATATCCTCCATGTTCATTTCAAGTAAATTTCACATATGTTGGACACAAATATATATATATATATATATAGTGTTTATATATATATACACATTCTTGTAATTGATATATATAATATATATATATTTATATATATATATATATATTCAAATTGCAAGAACAATAACATTCTTTAAAGTAAAATATTAGCTGAAGAGACAAGGATTATTATATATATATATATGTGTGTGTGTGTGTGTGTGTGTGTGTGTTTGCGTGATGTTCTTTATTGGTAAAAGTTCTTTTGTTATTCCCATTGAAAAACTATAAAATAAAATCATCTACGATGGATGAAAAGTGATTAATTGAGGACATCATCAACACCCTTGTCTGTCTGTCTAGCTCTCTGTATATTCTCTCTCTCTCTCTCTCTCTCTATATATATATATATATATATATATATATATATATATATATATATACCTCCACATATACTTTAAATTAAATTGAGTTTTAGGGCTCCGTTCCATCTTCAGTTTTTTGTTGGAATCAAATTCCAGTTGAAATCTATCTTTAAAAGATGTTTGTATACACGTATAGAGATATTCATAGGTATACATATATAGACACATGGTACATAAAAAGACACATGTATTACACTTTCGTCAAGTTGGCTTGTCTATGGAGATTTATTTATTTATTTTATTTTATTTTATATTTTTTTTTTATAAAAAAAAAAACTTTCGTGGCGTTTGTTTTTTGACGACACACATTTAAACTACTAACATATATATATGTATGTGTGTGTGTTAATAATTTCTACTATATGAATCTGATATATATTTTTTTTTTATTTGCATGTATATGTGCATATATATATATTTAAGTTTAAAAAACAGACCACTTCAAAAGCTACCATTATAATAATTTATTTCATCAGATACCTTTTTTTAAATGACGAGCACTTATGGATCATCAGATAAAATTATTCTTCGTGGACAAAAATGAAATGAATGAAAAATTGAAAAATATTAGCTCTGGATTTATATTGAGCCCTCGTCTGGGGTTTTTCATCCTCCTTGGAATTACATATGAATTACCAAGTTCTTCATACTTAATTATATATATATATATATATATATATATATATATATATATATATATATATATAATTATTTATTTAAAAATATGATTCAATTCGCGACATAAGGGTTAGGATTTATTTCATATATGTTTCAAAACAAATTGCCAAAAACTTCAATATAATTATTTGAATTCACTAAATTAAATTGAGTTAAAGTAAGCTCTGTTCCATCTTCAAGCGAAATTTCTTTAGGAATAACGTATTTTCTGAAATGTACGTGTTTTAATAATTGAAATCAAAATTTCCATGGTAACAGCTAGGGCGTATTGTTTTAAATTGGATAGGCGTGTGTGTTTGGGTGTTAATAATATCAGTATAGAGTTATCCTTTCACTCAATTTTATTTATTATTTTTCAATGTCGGGTCGGGTAGGGAAAGGTGGGGGTGTCTAAATTTGAAACGGAAGATGTATTAACCCTCGTCTAGTTGCATGTCTATAGAGATATATTTATTTTTTTATTTTTTATTTTCTCATGAAAGGAATTTGTGATAATGTTATAGGTCTTTTTTCAAAAAAATACCTTTTAAACGTTTTGTTTTTTCGACTTCATAAAGGGTTATATCACGAAAATAGAAGGTATTTAACAAACTACTTTTGAATTTGAAAAAGACCTACTCAACATTATCAACAACATCTTTTTAAAAATCCAAAAAACATAAACCAAATAGTTAAAAGCATTAAAATACTAAGTTAAATCAGGACTTTGGATTATTTACTTATAAAAAAGCTTGCAACAACAACATAAATATGGTTGAAAACATAAACAAAACCGATTCCTGAAAAGAATGTTTTAACTCTTAAGGATATTTTCTTAGAACACGACCAGAATACAACCCTACACATCACAAAAAGATCCTGAAAAAAAAACACACAAATAAAAAAACAACTGGAATTAAAATATGGATATATGTTATCAATTGGTTTAATATATATGATAAACGGAATTCAACCATATACAGTTCGATATCGTGGACTACTACCCATCAATTTTATTTATTTATGACTGCCCTGGACTTCGCTTTGTGTATTGAACCTAACAAAGGATGAAATGGATATAATCCTCAGCGCAAAGAAATCGGTCCTCGTTCACAATGGGGACCAATGGATAAAAAACAATAACGACCTGTTTGACATCACTATGGGAAAACTGCAATGGGTAATTCAAGAAATTGATGAAATCCTGACGACGGCTCATGGTGGTGAGGAGTTACTAGTTTTAAGATTGAAAAATCAGAAAATTATATTTAGTGAATTTAAGAAACTAAACTTAAATATAATTTCTAATTTGAAAAGGGTTAACTTCCTACGTAATAGATTACTCAGACAATACATACCAACCTTATAGAAAACCAAATGCTACCCTTTATACATACACCGAAGTCAAACCATCCTCCATCAATAATTAAACATATACCCTCATCAATAGAAAATAGAATTAGCCATAACTCCGCAAACAGGGAAATATTCCAAAAACATAATAGCTTCTACAACACTGCCCTAAAAAATAGTGGTTATAAAATATAATATTAACTACAGAGAAAATTGCACCGGACATGGGAAAAAAAACAGGAAAAGAAATATATATATACACCCCCGTTATATATAAATAGGACAGAAATATATAAATATCCCCACCAATATATATATATATATACACCCTAAAAATTGAGCTACATGATAATCTTGAACGCATAATAAAAAAACACAATAATAAGATCTTGAACAAACCCCCACAAAACAGTATTAATAAAACACTTAAATCAGACAAAAGGGAAAAATTATGTAACTGTAGAAACAGAAGACTGCCCATTAGAAAATAAATGTTATATATCTGTGGTATATACCAATGCACTATCATCCATATATATATATATATGATATACATTGGGTCCACGAAGAATAATTTTAAAAGATAGATGGAGGCAGCATAAGTGCTCCTTTAATAATATAAACAAAAGAAACCAAACATCAAAATAGGCTTGAAGGAAACAAATTCCAAAAGTTAAATGGAAAATTATTTAGAATATTAAAGCTTATGCCCTTTGGCCTCCCCATTATTAAACTTCTAAATAATAATAATCTATTAAATAATAGACACGAGTTAATGTTTTTTGTAGGCATCATCAGATTTTTGGTTTGAAATAAAAAAAAAAAAATTATATAACTTGTCAGATTCATAGTAGAAATTATTAACCAAACTTGATCAAGACCCCTAATCTATAGCCCAAATTTGTTTAAATCTCTAAAAGATAAACCTTTATGAAGTCGTCAAAAACAAACATACGAAAGTTTTTTTTTTATAAGCACAACAAATAAAATAAAATAAAATAAATAAATAAACATAAGCCAACTTGACGAAAGCTTAATACATCTTCGTTTCTTTTTAACACCCCCACCTTCCCCGACTTGAATGAAAGTATCTCTTACCGGTCATCGACTGTCGCCTACCCATTTTAGACAATTCGCCCTAACTGTTACCATGGTGATTTTGATTTCAACTTTTAAAACCAGATATTACGTTATTCAACAAAAACTCGCTTGAAGATGGAACAGAGCCCTTTTTAATTTCAACTCAATTTAATTTAAAGGATTATATTGAAGCTCTTGTTTTGAAACATGAGACCTCTTATTCGATGAATCATATTTTGAAATAAATAATTATATTTATGCTCTACTTTTGTATGCACTATTTTTTAAAAATAATAACAAAAAAAATACTAAGGAACCATAACATTCCTATATATATATATATATATATATATATATATATATATATAAAAGAACAGTAAGATATATAATCCGGTGTTCTTATAGATATTTTTATTTTTACAAAATAGTGGTCAATGTAAATTTACAGAGCATTAATATTATAAATTAATTGATTTAAAATATGTTTTTCGCTACACATTTCTAACCTTGTTTCAAAAATGGAAGCTAAAAGCTTCGAATTCAATTTTGTAATTAAATTAAAGACATTAGTTCCATTTAATCCTCAAGCGAATTCATATATATATATATATATATATATATTTCTGAGATGAGGTATTATGTACACTATTTACATTGCTCGGGCTATCATCCTCATCTTTGTTGCAATATGAGCTCTGGTAAAAATAAAACATGCAATGATAACAGCAAAAATTGCAATATGAGCACTGTTAAAAAAAGGATGCTGAAGTCATTAGGTTTATGATATCTAGGAATTCACACACACGGACACATGGCACAGTGGATAATGGTGATGGTTAGATCCAGTGACAGGACCCAAAGAGTGTGAGTTCAATACCCGGTTAAGGCAGTGGAGAACTTTCAGAGGGAAATTAACAGGAGATAACAGATAACTGACATCCATTAGACATGGCACGTGGAACTGGATCAGTCTACCCCAGCGAGCGAAATGAACGGTTCAGTTCGATATTCCAACCACCTGAAGAAGGCCGGCGCGTACAACCGCCGAAACGTTGTGATAAATATGGCAAGAAAGATCAGGATGATAGTCCGAATAATGTAAATAGTGTCTTATATTTTCTATGCTCTGTTTGCAATGATTTTTTTTCTGACACTTTTCATTTTTGAACAAGAAATGCAACTTAAAATGAAGATCTCCGTAATCGTAAAATGGGTTCGGTGCAGTCATCATTTCTTAAACAACCCTTTGGTCGCATTGACTTCAATTTTAGTATCATTGATTTAGAATTCTTAGGTATTC